AAGACTATTAGGATTTCCATTCTTTTGCATTTGCTGAGGAGTATTTCACTTCCAATTATGTGGTCAATTTTAGAGTAAGTGCTATGTGGTGCTGAGAACAATGTATATTCTGTTGAGTTAGGGTGGAGAGTTCTGTAGGTGTCTATTAGGTTCGCTTGGTCCAGAGCTGAGTTCAAGTCCTGAGTATCCTTGTTAATTTTCTGCCTTGTTGATCTAATGTTGACAGTGGGGTGTTAAAGTCTCCCATTATTATTGTGTGGGAGTCTAAGTCTCTTTGTAGGTCTCTAAGGACTTGTTTTATGACTCTGGGTGCTCCTGTATTGGGTGCATGTATATTTAGGATAGTTAGCTCTTCTTGTTGCATTGATCCCTTTACCATTAGGTAATGCCCTTCTTTGTCTTTTTTGATCTTCATTGGTTTAAAGTCTGTCTTATCAGAGACTAGGATTGCAACCACTGCTTTTTTTTTTGCTTTGCATTTTCTTGATAAATAACCAAAGGGTGAGTGGTTGATAGAGTGAGCCAGGCCCCAAGCGGTACTGTTGGGAGGTTGTGGGGAACACACAGACACGGGCACCCGTGAGAGCTAGAAGCACGCCACACCAGGGCGGGTCACGGTTCTCGCCCTGCAGAAGCCGTGAGGCCAGCATGTGTTGGTCTGTACTGCCCGGCCTGTGGTGAGCTGTCACACAACTCATGCAAGTCCAGGCAGCAGAACGTGAACAGAGCCTCATGGGCACTGCTTTTCGGCAATTACTAGCGCATCTCATTTTCTTGCACTTCACTGTGCGTTTTATAAATTACAGGCGTGTGGCAGCCCCACTAGAGCAACCCTGTCAGTGCCACTCTTCCAGCAGCATGCCCACTCCACGTCTCCACGTCTCCACGTCTCCTTGTGGTAATTCTCACAATACCTCAAACTGTTATTGTATGTGTTACGGTGGCCTGTAGTGTCACTACTATCTCGGGGCGCCCATATGAAACGGTGAACTTGATTGATAAATGTGAATGTTCTGACGGCTCTGCTGGTTGGCTGTCCCTCCCCGCTCCCCACCCCCCAGCCCACCACTCTTCAGGCCTCCCTATTCCCTGAGGCACAACATTGAAATTAGGTCAGCTAACAACCCCACAGTGGCCTCTAAGTGTTCAAGAGAAAGGAAGAGTTGCAAGTCTCTCACTTTAAATCAAAAGCTAGAAATTTTTAAGCTTAGCGAGGAAGGCACGTTGAAAGCCAAGACTGGCAGGAGAGGCCCAGCTTTCAGCCTAACAGTTAGCCAGGTTGTGAATGCAAAGGAAAAGTTATTTAAGGAAATTAAAAGTGGTCCTCCAGTGAACACACGAATGATAGTGAAACAGCCTTTTGCAGATAGGGAGAAAGTGTTAGTGGTCTGACAGATCAAACCAGCCACAACATTCCCTTAAGCCAAAGTCTAATACAGAGCGAGGTCCTGACTCTCTTCAATTCTGTGAAAGCTGAATGATGTGAGGAAACTGTGAACAAAAGTTTGAAGCTAGCAGAGGTTGGTCTACAAGGCTTAAGGAAAGAAGCCGTCTCCGTAATAGGTGTGAGGTGAGGCAGCAGGCTCTCCAGAAAATCCTGCTAAGGTCACGATGGAGGTGGCCGCGCTCAACCACAGACCTTCAGTGTAGAGGAAGCAACCTTGAACTGGAAGAAGACACCATGCAGGACTTTCATAGGTAGGGAGAAGTCAATGCCTGGCTTCAGAGCTTCGAAAGACAGTCTGACTCTTATCAAAGGCTAATGCTGCCGTGACTTTGAAACCCATTTATGCCTAGTGTTCCATTATTGGAATGCTAAGCATGCGGGAGTTTACCTTCTGCTTAAGGTCACTGCCAAGGTCTGACTGCAAAAATTAAAAAAATTGCAACCTCAGGCATAAATGGGTTAAGTTGAAGGCAGTGCTCACCATTCTGAGAATCGTAGGATTCTTAAGAATGAGGCTAAATCTGCTCTGCCCGTGGCTCTAGAAATGGAATGGCAAGGCCCAGGTGGTAGCACATCTGCGCACAGCATGGTTTATGGAATACTGTAAGCCCAGTGTTAGGCCCTCAGAAAAGGAGATTCCTTCCAAAATACGACAGCTCATTGACGGTCACCTGGTCACCCAAGAGCTCTGAGGCCAGTGTACGAGGTTCATGTTTTCGTGCTGACACAGCCTCCGTTCTGCAGCCCATGGGTCTGGGAGCCATTCTAACTCTCAGGTCTTATTGAAGAAAGACATTTTCTAAGGCTGTAGCCGCCATAGATAGTGATTGCTCTGATGGATCTGAGCAAAGTAAATGAAAAACTTTGAATCACCATTGTCCAGCTTACCAGGGACATTTAGATGAGTGAGCGGGAGGCTCTGAGCAGCAGTTATAAAATGCAAATTCTACAAATATCTGGTTTAGTGTTTCAGAAACAGCCTTTTCAGGATCGACTTCTCAGGGACCCCCTCCAACCCCATCAGTGCCGCTCTTCCAGCAGCACGCCCACTCCACGTCTCCTCGTGGTAATTCTCGCAATACGTCAAACTGTTACTGTGTGTGTTATGGTGACCTGTGGGGTCACTACCACCTTGGGGCGCTCATGTGAACCCCAAGGCACTTGGTGAAAACCCTTCCCAGGGAGTGGGCTTAGCGTGGAAAGGAGGTTCCTCCTTGTCCTGCACACGCCATGTCCTTGGAGGGCCTGGAGCGCCCGCGGTCACCTGTCTTGCGTGTTCCTCCAGGGGCAGCTGGCAGTGTGGCCTCACAGCACATGCTTGTTCCATGTCTTGCTCTTTTCACATAATGTAGATTGGAGGTTATTCCGTGTGAAGCCACTGGAGCCCCTGGGCTCTGCTGCTGTGACCTTTCTGTTCAGGGATATCTCCAGCTTATTTGAGCCGTATTAGCAAAGCGACGGGAAACCAGCCCCACGTACCCATCCCTGGAGCCAGCGTGTCCACCTTCTGTGTCCTCCACGCCTCCAAATCCCCACGCTGGGGTGTGACACTCATTCTAGCCTAATTTCATCCATTATTGTTTCCCTGATGTATCTCAAAGAGAGAAAAACGTTCAAAAGACCATAAAACCACCATTCCACCACAGAATTCCAAATATCCAATCAATGTTCAGATCTTCCTCATTGCCTTATAAATTGCTTCATGTTTTAAGTTTGCTTGCTGGAATCCGGCAGTGCCCGTGTGACCTCTACGACACGACCTTTCTTTCTGTCTCCCCGACGCCAACGCTCTTTTCAGTTCAGCTAAAGAAGGGCTTGTGCACCCTCTGCACTCGCCGACCGGGGCCCTGTGGTTTTGCGTGTTCTGCTCCGTCCTATTGAGAGGTGGTCAGACCGAGGCCACCTCAGGCTCCCCTGCGATTCCGTTCGGCAGGAGCACCTCGGGGGTCTCAGGGCACCTCTGTGGCGCTGCTGTTGTGCCTTCCTCCACCGTTAGCTGGACTAGTAAAGAGAAACCCAAGGTTCACGTTCCTCACTAAAACACCCGCTCTTCGATTATACGGATGTTTCATGCATTTGTGATACAGTTACTCACTGATGTACATTTTGGCCATTTGTAATCATTCACTGTTTAAAATGCTGCTGGAGTATTTGTATATATACATAATTTCGCTCAAGTGGCTCTCTGTGGAATAAATTCTAAAAATTTCTGGGTCAAAGGGCACACACATTCAGCCCCAATCTTGCTGTTCACCACCTGCAGCGGCTGTGCCAACCCACCCCCACCAGCGATGAAGCACCTGCCTCGTGCCCTTACAGGGAGGGAAAGCATCTTCTCACATATTTATGAACTGCTTTATTTCCCTTTTAGTAAATTATTCTTGTCATTAGCCCATTTTTCTATTGGTCGGTATTTTCATAAGGAAAGCTCTCTGACGTGCTGCGAATTTTTCTGCCATTTGACATTTTT